GGATCTTAACCCTTGATTTGGTGTTGTCAGCACCACGCTCAGCCAGTGAGCCAACCGGCCATCCCTATATAGGATCCGAACCCGTGGCCTTGGTGTTATCAGCACCACACTCTTCCGAGTGAGCCAGGGGCCAGCCCTCTACAGAGAAATCTTTTGTGAAAGGAAGTGTCAGTTGATGCAACACACTTCATTGTTTTATTTTAAGAAATTGCCACAACCACCCTGGCCTTCAGCAACCACCACCCGGATCAGTCAGCAGCCACCAACATCGAGGCAAGACCTTCCACCAGCAGAGAGATTGTGGGCTGGCCGGCTAGCTCATCTGGTTAGAGTGTGGTGATTTAACACCAAGGTCAAGGGTTCAGATCCCCATACTGGCTAACTACCAAAAAAAAAAGATCATGGGCCGGCCCGGTGGCGCACTGGAGAGTGCGCCGCTTGGGAGTGCGGTGGTGCTCCCGCTAAGGGTTCAGATCCCATGTGGAGACCGGTTCCCGCTCACTGGCTGAGCGCGGTGCAGGTGCAACACCGAGGGTTGTGATCCCGTTACTGGTCAGTAAAAAAGACAAAAAGGAAAAAAAAAAAAAGATCATGACTTGCTGAAGGCTCAGATGATCACTAGCACTTTTTAGCAATAAGGTATTTTAAAATTAAGGTATGTACTTTTTTTTTTGGAAATAATGCTATTACACACTTAATAGACTACAATACAGTATAGACATAACTTTTATATGCACTGGGAAACCAAAAACATCATGACTCACTTTACTGGGACATTTGCTTTGTTGTGGTGGCTGGAAGCCAGACCCGCATGTCCCAGGTACGCCTGTGCTTCCTTCTGACCCTCCTACTTTATCTTATCCTCATTGTCTTGGCTGTTTTCCTGTCTTTCTTCAATGCCCCTTATTACATTTTTATTTGAATCTATTCTCCTTTGGGCATCTTTGTAATGTAATCTTTATTTCTAGATCATTTTGTCTGTTCCATTTCTTTCCTGAGTTCAATCAACTCTCTTTTCATTTCTTCCTGAGTTTTGTCTCTTTCTGTTCTTTGCTTTTTAATTTTTCATGCTCAGGGCTGAATGCGAGGACGGTAGATCCTGTGCTGTCATTTGTTCCTATTTGTTCTTTCTTACAGTTGTTTTTAAGTTTGGGTGTTCTTGTCTTCAAGTTGTACCAAGGGCTTGGTTTGGCGTAGTTTATCTTTCCTTTCTGTTCATTCCATACCACTGTTCTGAAAAAGTGTGCTGACCCCCAGGACAATATTAGGAGATGGGGATCTACACCGCCACCGCTGTCTTCAGTTAACCTGGAAGTCTCTTGCAAAGTACTGGCTCCCCTCAGCTTTGGGCTTTGCTGGCGTAGAGGCCTGAGTATGCAAGGGAGAATGCTCTCATCCGTGCACACTGCAGTGGTTCTGTTGAAGTGGAAGTGGAGACTGCCACCCTCTCTGCCGTGGAACCAACAGCCCTAACAGGGCAATTGATCCTATCAAGGCAGAAATTGTTGCTGCCACACAATGGAGACAAGGAAGAGTCTGTGGTGCCCAGGGTATCCTCTGAGCCATCTCTGAGGACTGCCTGGCCCAAGGATAATGTTAATAAAAGACTCAAGTGACCCAATATGGGCAGAACTACCAAGGACTCAAACCCTTCAGGAATGAGGTCTGGGTCACCTCACTAGGTAAAGATCCCCAAAGGCAAAAGGAACAGGTGTGTAATGGGTGTGGAAGAAAGAAGTTATAAATACCAATCTAGGCCGGCCTGTGGCTCACTCGGGAGAGTGCGGTGCTGATAACACCAAGGCCACGGGTTTGGATCCTATATAGGGATGGCCGGTTTGCTCACTGGCTGAGCGTGGTGCTGACAACACCAAGTCAAGGGTTGAGATCCCCTTACCGGTCATCTTTTTAAAAAATAAAAAATAAATAAATAAATACCAATCTAGGGCTGATGGATAAAATACAGGATGCCCAGCTACATCTGAATTTTGGAAAAATAACAACTAATTTTTTAGCATAAGTGTATCCTACATGACGTTTGAGACATACTTACACTAAAAAAGTAGTTGTTGTTTCTCTGAAATTCAAATGTAACTGGACATCCTTTACAATATTCTTATTTACTAAATCTGGCAACCTTGATTAGGACCTTGTAACACATTGCACAAAAGACCCATCCCTACTTTCCTCCTTGCATATGAAATAGAGATTAACCAATATCCTTCCCCACATCTTTCCCCTTGTTTCATATAAAGTGTATTTGTGCGTGTGAGTGTGTGGCTGGCTAGTACGTGGATCCAAACCCATGACCTTGGTGTTATAAGGCTGCATTCTAATCAATAAAGTGTGTTGTTGATAATGCAGTGCATTTGTTACAGTATATCAAGGTGAGATTATGATTCAACTATTCACACCTCCATATCAATGTGTGCGTCCCCAGCTGCCATGGCAAGGGAAGAGAACCTTGGCAATGAAATGTTTTGCCCCCCGAACTGACACCCTTCACACTACATTAGCCACAGCTGGGCTCATGGCCAGGCCTACCTTGGAGGAGGTGAGGAAGGACACTAGCGTATTTGAAAGTGGAGACCCAGCATTTGGTGAACATCAGTAATGTCCACACAGATAGACAAAGTGAGTGGTGGGACTCTGAGACTCTCCTTTTGCAAGAATTTTTGGTTGTTTGAGGGATAGTTACATGGGGGCATGCTGTTGCTGTGATTTTTGGGAAGTTTCAGTATGAGCAGCAGTAGGTGATGCTGAGAGTGCAAAGGGGTGGACTCTGGTAGATATTTTGGGCTGGCCCAGTGTCCATCCTACCTCCTAGTATGCCTTTCCAGATGCACTGAGGGGAGTCAAAACTAAAAGCTTTTACTCAGACATGCCTAGTCAGGTTGAGCACATGCATACCCTATGATTCAGCAATTCTGCTCCCATTATGTATCTCAGAGAAATCGTTACCTAGGTCCATAAGAGGACATACAAGAATGGCCACTGCAGCATCGTTCTGGTGGGCAGGAGTTGGAGGTCATCTGGTGTCCAGGGCTAGAGAAGTAGACGAATAAAATGGGATGCCTGCATGATGGGCAGACAGATGGAGGGAAGGCTGGATGGTCAATCCTTACATGCACCAATTATCTTAACCTTAGGCTAAGGATTAACACAACCATCTGCCCCTGTGGGCAAAAAGAAAACACCTGCATTTCTGCATTTCCTTGCCACTGAACTTCTGCATGAGAAACTGATTCCACTAATGAGATGCCCTCTGAACGATGCAGAAAGAGGAAACAAGGCCGAGGCTCTCTGCCCTGCAACCCCAGCTGCAGTGAGGTTCAGTCTTCTGCAGCATTGACGAGTCTCTGGGTTCGTGGCTGTCAAGAGGCAGTGGTGGCAGTCCGGTCCTGTATCCCAGGCTCCAGGACTGGCTTCCTGGGTGCTAAGAGAACTTGGCTCACAGGCAGGGAAGTATGCTCTGGAACTCAACAGCTCCATTGGTAGTCTCCTGGAGGACCACTTCTCTTGCCTTCCCAGGGACATTGTAAGTAGCTTTTCTGTCTTAAATCCTTTTCTGCTGAAAACAGCTGGAGAAGTTTCCACTTCCTGAAACTGACCCCTTCCTGATTTGGCAACAATTTGCCCAGATGACACAGCACATTACTGCTGCAGCTCAAATTTGAGAAGAGCCTCCTGCCTTGGTCTGTAACAGTTCCCACAGTCCCAGGCCCTTCTTTCCTCTCCTAGCCCACCCCAGTCAGGAGGGACAAGACCGGTCCATAGAGAACCCTTGGCCTGGGAGCCTAAGAGGGAGGGGCAGCAGGAGAGGCCCTCCCCAGAACAGCAGATCCCAAGCCACTGGTCACTCCGTCACCCAGCTCTGCTGACTGCTGCTTCTGTGGCATCCTGGGGTCCAGCCCAAGGCACTGGGGACTCTGTGGCCCCTAAGATGGTGTGGTAAAGGAAATCTGGCACAGGATGACAGAACACTGTTACCTACCAGCTGAGTGACCTTAGGAAAACCACTCAACACCTCTGGCCTACAGTTTTCCTCATCTGCAGAGCCCTGCAGACCTGTGGCAAGGATGTAACGAGGAAACGTGCAGCGTGTGCCTGGTGGCAGAGCCGGACTCAGACACATCTGCATCCCAAGTGTCTTGCATATTTTGAAAAAGAACGAGGGGAACTAGTTCTTCTTTCCTGGGAAGATTCCTAAGTATGGGTTAGGTTTCTTAGGAGCTGGGGTTGGCAGCTTAGTTTTAGCCCAGATCATGTGGCCTTCTCTGTCAGCCGCAAACCTCACTAGCGGGCCCTGTCAGTACAGCCCGAGGAAGCCCTCTCCCCGGGAAGGGGCCACCTGGCCCCTGCAGACTCCCCCACTGTTTCTGGCTGCTGGCCCATCATCCTATCCAGCGGAGCTCCCAGGGGCAGGGATCCTGCCAACCTTGGGAGTTGAAAAGCACTGACCCACAAGCCAGGAGGTCCAAGCTCTAGCTCCAGCCTCCTTCCTAGGGTGCTGGGTGGTGTTGGGCAAGGCCAGACCCTCTCTGGGAAGAAGTGGAGAGGAGCATGTTTTTTCTCCTGCCTCCTGGACAGGGATTCTGATCATCCTAGCTCACCTGGGCAGGAAGGAACTAGAGCCCCGCCATCCTGGGGTTTAGTCTGGAGGCTTTCTTGGGGTCTAAGATCCTGCTATGGTTTGAATGTTTGCCCCCTCCCAAACTCAAGTTGAAGTTTAATATTCATTGCAACAGTATTAAGAAATAGGACCGTTAAGAGGTGATTAGGCTATGAGAGGATTCATTAGGTGAATCCTCCTGAATGGATTAATGCTCTTATGGTGGAAGTGGGTGAGTTATCTCGGGAATGGGTCCCTGGTAAAAGGATGACCTCAGCCCCCTTCTTCTCTTGCTCTCTCTTGTCCTTCCGCCATGGGATGAGGCAAGAAGTCCCTTGCTAGATGCCTTGGATCTAGCCCTTAATCTTGGACTTCCCAGCCCTGGAACTGTGAGCCCATAAATTTCTGTTTATTATACATTACCCAGTCTCAGATATTCTGTCACAGCAGCAAAAGGGATTAAGACATATCCCCACCCTAGTGAATCTGCTCCCAACCAAGACCCAGAAGAAAACAAGCCAGTGAAGGTCATTGGTGAAGGTAGGTCTTTTTGGGGAAAACGCTACAGGAGTGTGTCCTGGACCTTAGCAGCCCCTCTTAGGCAAGACTCCTCAAGGGCCACAGTTCGCCCCACCTGGCTTTCCTCTGCAGCCCACAGCCCACGGAGGTAGTCCCCCACCAGAGGCAGCACGGCCCAGTCATCGGTCCGCAGCGCCACGGGCACACCGTCTGCCTGGGCCGCCTCCAGCCGCAGCAGCAGCCTCGAGTCTGGGGGCAGGCGGATAGCTATGTAGTAGCTGGTGGGTGGCTGGGCCACCACCACAAAGGGCTCCAGGTGGCGGGACACCAAGGTCTGCAACCCCTGCGGCCCGAGTGGACACCACACACGACTCTCAGCGCCCTCCGGCAGGCAGGAGTCCCAGAGGTCCTCAAAAAAGCCCTGCCCGACCCCCTCTGGGGGCTGGGGGAAAGGCAGAAAAAGGTCAGCGAAGTTCACGATCAGCGGTGGCAGGTGGGCGTGGCACGTTAGGCCAGTGGGCGTGGTGTAAAGGGCGCGGACATGGAGCCGTGCAGGGGCTGGCCGTCGCGGCTGCAGGGGCAGGAGCAGAGGGCGAGCAGCACGGCCAGGACACACGCACGGCACGTGGACAGCCAGCAAGGGCGCATAGAGCTGTCCTTCTACGCGGAACCGCAGCTCCAGAGAGTAGACGGGCTCCAGCGCCTCCACCTGGAGCTGCAGCACCGGAAGTGGACCCTTGGCCCTGCGGGGCCCCACACTCAGCCGCATTGGCGCCTGGGCCTCCTGCACCATTAACGCCGCCACAAAGCCCTGGTTCTCCGCCACCAGCGAAGAGGCCAGTGCAGGTGCAGCAAGTGAGGGGCCCAGGGCCACCCCCAATTTGGGCCCAGTCAGGTGCGCCAGGAGGATGTAGTACAGGCGGGCGTGATCCCGCCCATCAGGGTCCTCCAGCTGCCTGGCCAGTGCCTGCAACAAGTCTGCCAGGCCACTGCCCCCACCTGCCCGCAGCAGGGCCCGGCAGACCCGCAGCAGGGCCTGCTGGAGGCCCCAGTCTGTGCAGCGGGCAGCTGTGGCCTGTAGAAAGCTGAGGGTGGCACTCTGGGCATCCCTGTCTACCACCTTTGCCAGCATCTGCAGGTGCCAGCGAAGAGCTTCATCCCCACCCGGACTGGACACCACCTCCTGCCGCAACACCACCCTAAGGGGTTCTCCCAGCTCAGGACCCACATGATCCAATAGGTCCACAAAGTGGGGAGCCAGCACAGGCCGGGATCGGTACAGCAGGGCCAGTCCGTGGATCAAGGGTGTCAGCACCATAGGCTGCCCGGCCAGGCAGTGGGCAACCAGGTAGGAGGCCTGGAAGCAGAGAGTGGCCAAGGCCCGGGGGCCCCCATCCAGAGCTGCTCTCTGCCACAAGCCAGCCAGCAGCTCTGTGAGGTAGCACCGTGGGCTCTGAACCTGGTCTTTTTCCTCCTCTTCCTCTGCACAGAGCAGGCACAGCAAATGCAGGCGTGCCAGGAGGACCATCGGGTCATTCAGGAGACTAGGCAGGAGGCCACAGCATAGCTGAGGCCCCAGCAGTAGCGGGGCTGCCTCCTCACCTTCGGGGCCCAGCGGCCAGTTCTCAGGGAAGTTCAGGAGGCAGTGCAGGTAAAAGAGATGGGTGGGTGTGGGCAGGGCCGGGTGCTGGGCAGCCAAGGTCAGCCTGCGGAGCAGCAAGGCCTCATCCTGGGCAGTAAACAGTGCCTCACCAAAGGCTGCCTTGAGCGCAAGAACCGCATGCAGCAGCGTTAGCTGTGCTGTGCCCAGCAGCCGTACCAGCTGTGGCTTGAAGAGCGCTGGTGGCTGTCCCGGCAGACCCCGGAGGGCCCAGCCGAGCAACCACAGAAGCTGGGCCTGGGCCACAGGAGTGAGCAGGTAGGTGGTGTCCAGGAGCTGAGCCACAGCAGCCCGCAGCTCCCGGGCCTCCTCAGGGCTCAGCTCCAGCGCTGCAAGGCCACATTCCACCTCCTCAGCTGTCGGCCAGCTGGGTGCCTGGGGCTGAAGGTGGGAGTCACCCTCTTCAGCTAGTGTCCAGTCCCAGAGACCACCCCCAATGCGGGAGGTCCCGGCCATGAGCAGGCCCTGCAGGCCAGCCCCAGCTTTGGACTGTATCATCAAGGTGTTGCGTAGAGCAAGTGCCAGCAGCAGGCTGAGTGGCTGGACAGGGCCTTCCTGCCCCAGCAGGCCCCGCAGCAGCCACAGAGAGCCCCCCAGCAGCCCAGGCTTGCAGCTCTCCAGCTCTCGCAGGCACTCACACGCTGTGGCCTGTAGGGGGCGCTGTTCGGAGATGGGGCCAAACCCTCGCCCCAGATCGCTGCCCGAGGCCAAGCCAAGTAGTAGGGGCAGGAGCCGGCAGGAGGCTCCCGAGGTGGGGCCCAGCGCACCTCCTGTCGCCAAGACTGTAGTGGCCGCCAGCAGTAGGGGCCGCCGGAGAGCTGAAGGCCGTGGGGGTAGCAAGACCAGGGTGTCCAATAGGGAGGTGGCAGCCGCCTCGGCCACAAGGGTGTCTGGCCACAGTTGGGCTGGGTACTCCAAGCTCAGGGCCAGCAAGGAAACCTGGCACGGGGAATTTAGGAGGAAATCACGAATATGAGGTTCCTGGCCTGGTAGGCTGGGGTTTCAATATGGGCCAGGGCAGGGGACCCGGGCGTGGCCTACCTTGGTCTGTTCGTTCAGCTTCTCACTTCTCAGGTCGCTCAGTAGGTCTCGACCCAAATCCTCCCCCTCGGGACCCTCCATGAAGGCGGACGGGCTGGCCCGGAAGGCCGCCAGGCGCTGGGCCCAGGCTTCCCGGCTCAGGGGCCCCATGGTCAGGCACGTAGATGCCTGCAAAGAGAAGGAGCATCAGGCCGGCGGCCGCGGCTGCGAGGACGCGCGGGGCCGCGAGGCCGCCAGAGGGCGCCCGGGCCCTCCGCCATTGCCGAAGGGGCCGCCGTCACCCCAGGGCCGTCTCTCAGATCCCAGCAGGGGCCCGTCGCCGGGTCCCCAGAGGAAACTGGGATGTTTCGGGGAGACGCCTGGGCGGGCGTCCAGGCCCCCTGCGGGGCAGGAGC